TAAAGGCATTTTAAACCCTTCCCACACTCATGCAATATTCTAAACAATGTTTCTAAACTCTAAACGCTCTAAAAGATCACAGAATGTCATGATCTCTGATCTCTGCCACCTCCCAGCGCTCTCGGCCACGCCCACTTGTCGGCTGCAGAGTGGAGCTCATGACACTGAGGAGGGAGCTTCTCCCTGCGCCTGTGGGTTGCACCCAGGTGCAGCAGGTACTCAATCATTTTAAATAATTTATTTTAAATAAAAATTCCATGTCGATCGTGCAGCTCATCCATCAATCAGCCAATTGTGTGTCATGTCCAGTCTTACTTTGAAAAACCGCGATAGAGAGAGTCCGCGAGAAATGAACCGCGAAGTAGCGAGGGACTACTATATTATAAAAACAAACTTGTTTCTTAATTTCAGTAGCCAACTGAGAGGATCTGTGAGTGTTTTGTGATTCTGGTGTCATCTGTCCTGTCCTCACTGTTTCTCCCTCATGTAATCAGCTCCTGCCTCTTCCACCTGTTGTCTTTCCCCAGGTGTTTGTGTTCATCCCCTCGTTAGTGTCTCTATACTGTATAGTCTGTGTTTCCTTGTAGTCCCCCTGTCCATGGATTGTCCTGTTAAGGCATCATGTTCTGTCTCCCTCTATGTGTTTGCTGCCTTTTGTTTTGTTTAATAAATATATTTCTTAATTACCTTCAAGTTCTCCGAGCATCTGTCTGCACTTGGGTTCAACGTACCACCAGATCATGACACCAACGGGTGCTTTTAGTAGTTTATTTAAGAGTAAGTTACAAATGGCTTTACACAATTGTATATTTACTTTAACAGAAATGTAAGACCTTCCCCAAAAATACAATAAAATAAAGATCCAGACTTTGATGTTTAAACTTAGATGTTTTTTTTTTTTTTTTTTTGTTCTCCACTGGATTTTTACAATGTCAGTATGAAAGATGAAAGTGATGGGACAGTGCTAACAATTTGGGTGAATATGGCTCTGCATCTTCAGAGGAAGAAGAAACAAAAGAGACGACGCAGCAGCCTGCGCCGCTATCTGCATCTGTCATCTCCAAATGAGATTTAATGGGGGAAAATAGCAGCGACTGGTTGAAAACACTATTTTCTGACAAAAGATAAAAGATATTCCTTTTTGAGCTTTAAAAACTACATTTCACTTTCCAAATGATCCGTGAACCATGTGCAGTTTGTTCCTTGTACTGCTTGTGCAATATCCTTTTATGCTTTCTTTTGGCCACCCGCTGCCAAGGTGGGCAAACAAAAGATAGTTTCATTTTATTGTTAGTGGATAATGTAGGAAGATGTCTTCCATACATGCAAATAAAGCAGACAAGCCTAAACTTTAGTTAAGGAAAAACATGAAGAGAACAAGAATTTAAATAAATTGAACATTTGAACCCTCATTTTTGAGTCTGTGTGTCCTCCTTAAATATGTTGTGCCCTTGGTGGGCGTAACATGGCTGTTTTTGTTTGGCAACATGTGGCAGAATAATGGCTGAGTTTAATGTGGTACCCATTGTCCTGGTGTGTTCCAGAGGGTCAAAGGTCCGAACGGCATCCGTGGCTTTTGAGGGTCGTCCTGCTCCGGCTTGGTTCACAGCGCGGACTCTGAACTGGTACACAGTTCCTTCCTTCAGGCCAAACACTGGGAAATGGCACGTTTTATGAATGCGAGCATTGCAGCGCACCCACTCATCCTGACCGAGGACACATCTGAGAAAAAAAGACAAATCAACACAGTCGAAACTTTCAGGCAAAGGTAAAAAAATAATAAAAACAAACAAAAACTGAAGTAGATAAACTGCAGTTTATGCCAAAAATACAGTGTGAATGCTGGATGACTTTGCATCTGCTGAAAAAGCTGAAACAGAGTTGTTAAAGCTAAAATAAACAGAACACCAGCTAAAAGGAGCAAAATACTAGCTAAAACTAAAAGAAGCAAAATGCTAGACAAGAAATGTTAAAAGCATCTAAACATGAGTTTAAAGTATCAAATACTCTATAACTGTTACATCCATCCATCCATTATCTTTACCCGCTTATTCCATTTTGGGTCAGGGGGGTCGCTGGTGCCCATGTCCAGCAATCACTGTGCGAGGGGCGGGGTACACCTTGGACGGGTCGCAAGTCCATCACAGGGACACATAGAGACAAACAACCATTCACTCTCCCACTCACACCTACGGACAATTAAGAGTTAGCAATTAGCCTAACATGCATGTTTTTGGTCTGTGGGAGGAAACCGGAGTACCCGGAAAAACCCACGCATGCACGGAGAGAACATGCAAACTCCACCTAGAAAGGCCCCTGGACCGGGGTTTGAACCAAGGACCTGCTCGCTGAGAGGCAGCAGCTCTACCAGTTGCGCCACCGTGCTGCCCTAACTGTTACATGTAAAAAATAAAAAGTCTGGCTAAAAGTAGCAAAAAGCTAAAAGTAAAATGGCAAAATGGCAGCTAAAATCTAAAAATAGCTAAAATACAGCTAAATATTAAAAGTAGCAAAAAATAGCTTAAAGGTAAAAATAGCAAACTAGTACTTTGCTTCTGTAGAAAGTTAGAAGTAGCAAAAGGTTAGATGAAAAGTAATAAAACGCTAGCTAAAATAGCAGAATGCTAATTAATCTAAAAGTAGCAAAAGGCTAATTAAAAGCTAAAATATCAGAACGATAACTAAAAGTACATTAAGCAGATGGCAATAGAACAAGTTGGCTAAAAGAACAATGTTTTTGAAATAATTAAGGTGTTTACGAGGAAAAAATGTGAATAAAATTAAATACTTTTTGTGTTTAAAAGACACAACAACCACAAGTCACAATACCATCTCCAGAATGAGCTGAAGGTTTTGATCTGGCATTAAAAAAAAAGGGGCTAAAATAGTAAAATGTGTTCTTAAGTATTTAGGCTGCAAAAAATGTATGGCAAAATTAAAAACAAGGAGAATAAAAACGTGAATGCTTGAATCAGTATTCCCTCAATAAGAATCCCGGAACATTATGTTCACATTCTGCACTAACCCTTTTTATTTTTATATAAAACTAACGGTAAAACATTTGCAACCCCGCAACAACACAGAGTCAGCGTAGTCGCTATCGAGGTCGATCACCGAGAGATCAGCTTGTGAAAATAATAAGAGACCAACCACAAGAATTCAGATTATACGGCACCGGCGTGGTAAACAAATACAGAAGTGCACAAGTTTTAAACCGTGAGGGGGGTTGCTAGGGAACTATTTCACATTTTCTTGTGCTCGTCTTTTACCCGCTGACGTTCAGTTGTGTCTTCAGCATTGACTATTTAACATCGAGTGACCAAATATGGACAAAAAGTTGCACTTGACTTGATAACCTGACAGACATATGTTCTCCACACACATGTTGAACAGGACAATCCTGATTGATTAGTGGGGGTGATGAGGGCAGCATGGACTCTGCAGGGACTCTTTGACTCCGCTGTTAATGCAGCGCTCAGGTCTAATAATTAGGATGTAGACCATCCATCTCATTTGAACTTTGCCAAATGGATCTTGCAGTTTCCAATACGATCCAATTATCTCACCAGCAGCACGCGGAGGAAGATAAAGGTTCAGCTGTGTTGTCTTACCGTCAGCCTGTTGATGCCCGACGCTGAAAATTACATAAAAATGGGTTTAAAATAGGATTTTAATGAAGACCAAATCAATGAGAGTTTGCTTTTAAAGTATAAACACAGTTATCTGAGCAAACACTCACTCGTCTCGTTCAGTAATCAATTAAAACCTGATTTAAAAAACAAATAGATCAAAAACCTGATTAGAAAATTCTGCTCAAGAAAAAAATACATCAAACTTTTGATAAAAGCAGATTAATCAAGTGATAAAATAAACTGTAATGAACTCACTAGATTTGTTTGATTAAAATCACACTTTGATCAATAATCATTTCAAAATCAAACAACTTCCATTAAAACATTTAATTAAGCCAGTTTTTTTTTCCTTTTAATAAAGAGAAACACAAACTCTCCTGACTGGTTTTCTTTGACTAAAGTAAACGTCTTTGGATTTTTGAAATGTTGACATTTTTATGTTGTTTTGAGACTTTATGAAACATAAAAAAACAGATAATTGATTTGTAATCAAGATAACAATTGGCTGATTAGGACATTGAAAAAGACATTAATGATTATACAAGACAAGTTTTCTGGTAAAAAAAAAAAAGATGCATGTTTGATTAATACTCTCGTCTAGTTCAGAACTTAAATACATTTGCAAAATAGCTGAAAAAAGTCTTAGTAGAGTGAATACAGTTTTACATTTATTACTTTTTAAAGATTGTGTAATTCAAATATTTTGTAAGGCCATTTACTTTACTCTCTTTGAGAAATTGCACAACTTGATAAAGGTGTTAGATTAAATTCATAAGCATTTTCCAGGAAGGCCCACATCTGCCTGTATGAGGTTTCGTTCTTGGTCGTAGATGTCAAGATGAAAATTAAACCACAATGTAAAAACAATCCTATGGAAGTTCAGCTCTTCAGCTTCCTGCAGTCACAAAATGGGGCCACCAAGCCACATCTGTAAGCCATCTCCTTGATGAGCTGCAGGAGTACAAAAGGCTGCAGAAGACCTCCCTTCGCCACTGGAGCATTACATGCCTCACGGTAGTGTTTCTGGCCACTTTGCATTATCTTGTGATAGATAAACCTACCTTGTGCTCTTACACGTTTCAGCATTAACTTCTGCTGCCTCCCTGTTCCTGGACTCCCACTGAATAACCTAGAGCTTCTTTGCGTACTCCTCAGCTGTCTCCTCGCCTTCCAACTACTTGCCTACCTCAACCTGAAACCCCTCGGACATCTTCCTTCACTTAGAGCGGCTTGGGATGTTATCAGCCCATTAAATGGTCATTATTAGTTGTTATTATCCCCATATGTAGCGGTCAAACTGTCCCACCTACCTCCTAGTAGGTTTTAAGGTACCGTTATTATCGTTATTATTGCTGATAATAGGCAGCGTCGCACAGGGGTAAACCACGAAGTGTATTTTTTTGTTTTATTCCTGCTTATGTAACCCTTTTCCTAAACGTAAGCTTACACCTGACCCAGAGAACCAACCCTAAACTTAACCCACTTACCCTTGTGCCTAAACCTAACCAAGACTGTAAACCTAACTGCCAGACCCTTACTTTAAACCTAACCACGTGAAGTTTTTATGAGCACTAACAAAGCTAAAAACAGAGCCCATTATCATCGCTAACAACGTACCTTTAAACCCACTAGGAGGTACAGGAGGGGCAGTCTGACCACTACATATGGAGATGATAACAACTAATAACGGCCATTTAATGGCTGATAACCTCCGAAGCGGGTGTCACTTACTGGAACCAGTGAATCCCCAGCTCCTTCGACAATCCACAACTCCACCGATAAGCAAGAAAAGCATCATTACTCACCATACCTCAAGTTATGCATACTGAACTTTCTCCTTACTCCCCAGGGTTCCATCCCTTCTCAGTGTACATTGTTGAACACCACACCATAAATAAACACTGTTAACTTTTACCTGGTCTTGAAGTCTGTTCAATTTAGTCCAAATTTTCTGGGTATTCCATTAAAACCTTACAAATCCTTATGCCTGCAAGACAGCATTTTTGTCCTGACACAAATCCAAGGAAGACATGAGACAATTTCTAGGGTTGTCAAACTCCAATGCCTCCTTTGTCATAAAACAAGATCAGTTTATAATTACTTCTAACTCTTAAACTCACCTGATTCACATCTTTTGCCGAACTGAATACAAGACGACTTGATGACCCCTTAACAAGTTATGATCACTAAAAGGAAGGACTTCTTTTATGTAGACGAGGGAACCTTAGGGAAGAGCAATCTTCAGCAGCACTCCAACAAATAGACCATTATGGCTGCTGAGGCTGCACAGAAGCCATCCCTCACTAAAACACAAACAACAGCCTGCTGGGAGTTCACCAGCGTTTCTGATGTCCCCTGTGGCGATGTTTTCTGCGACAGTAGCTGCAAGGCCACACAAGATAGAGGGCAAGCAAGATGAGGAAATAATCGAGCAACCACAAGTGAAAAGTTTTTTTTTTGAGAATGTTCAGGATTTCAGAAAGGGAGAAGGTTTACATCAGTGATTCTTGAAACTTGGATCACACTGTCGGTCAAAGACCCATAAATGATGTTGAAATGAGCTTTAGATATTAAATGAAATGTACAACATTGTTATACTTGAATAAAAAGATTGTTGAGGCGGTTTCTGCGTTGTGGGGAGTTGGTGTCCATCTCCAGCAGTCAGTGTGAGAGGCGAGGGACACCCTGGACAGACTGCAAGTCCATAACAGGGTCAAACAGAGACAAGCAATCATTCACTCTCTCACTCACACCCAGGGACAACCAGAGAAAACCCACGCATACATGGAAAGAACATATATATATATTGGAAATGTCTGAATAAACAGTACAGACTAACAGGAAAAACAAAATTAAATTGTCTTAAAACAATACATCAGTTTTGGACTTTGTAATGAGGCAGCTAAGAGTCGTAGAAAACTCACATTTTCCGTAAATGCCAAGTGCTGAATGACTGCTGAAATCTAATTAGGAACCTGAAATTGAGATTTTACAGCTAAAAGCTAAAAGCAAAATGCTATCTAAAAGCTAAAAGTGACAAATCATTAGTAGAAATCTAAAAGTGGAAAAAAGAACGAAACCAGAGCAAGTGCTGTATGCAGCAACAGATCTCTAAGAGAATGTTTTTGAAGGAACTGACGAGTCGATGTGTTTCTAATGGAAAAATAATTGTAGATAAAAGTGAAGACTTAGAAAAGTAGAAAAGGTTTTAGCATCTATCTCCTGAATGAGCTGAACTTCTTGATAACAAAGCATGCAGAAGTAGTTCAAAGCAAAAAAACTAGTGAAAAAACAAACAAACAGGAAAACAACAGTATGAATGCTGACTCAACATTTTACAATAACGTTGTAATTGCTTATCAAATCTGAGTGAGTCACGCTGATTTTCACCTTTCTACATAATAACCCTCCACAGGTGAAGCTCCGTCTGCACTGGGCGGCTGCCAGGTGAGGAAGACGTAGTCCTTGTTGACATCAGACACCTCCACTGCCAGAGGAGACGCAGGACCTCCGGTCACTGCTGCTGATGCATCTATGAAAAGACAGAATCAACTGAGCGAGACACAGAGACAACTGAAGGACGAGAACGAAACTTCAAACCAGCTTAGAAACATCATGAAAGAGCATGTTACAGATCCCCACCTGCACAAATCAATGTATGCTACATGGACACAACCAGAGGGTTCTGAGACACAGAGAAGTATCAAAAACAACTAAATTAGTCAGAAGGACTTAAAGGAAAGAATGCGACAAAGATTATTAAACTTACTTCTGAGAATTTAAATTGTCTTCTTTTTGTTCTGAACCTCAACATCTTCATTTCTACCACTTCCAGTTCTTTCTCCTGTCTTTTTTATCAATACCACTGTCTCCAGACCATATAACATCCTGCCTGGACTCTCTTCTTCACATCTTTACCACACTCCATTTTTCTGGACAGTGGATTGTCCTGCACCTTTGTGACCTCTGCTCCTTGTAACCTCACTGTTTCACCAGCCTCCCTCTCATCCACACACATGTACTCTGTCTTACTACAGTTGACTTTCATTCCTCCTTCAAGTTCATACCTCCACCTCTCCAAGTTCTCTTCCACCTGTTTCCTGTTCTCACCACAGACCACAATGCCATCTGTAAACATCATGGTCCACGGGGATTCCTGCCTGACCTCATTTGTTAGTTGGTCCATCACCAGAGCAATCAAGAAAGGGCTCAGATCTGATCCTTGATGCATCCCACCTCCACCTTGAAGCTGTCACTCCTACAGCACATTTCACCTCTGTCCTGCTGTCCTCATACATGTCCTGTATCAGTCTAACATACTTCTCCAGATTTCCTCATGCAATACTACACCTCCTCCCTCGGCACCCTGTCACATGCTTTTTCTAAATCCACAATGACACAATGAAGTTCTTTCTGAACCTCTCTGTACTTCTCCATTAGCATCCTCAAAGCAAAGATGGCATATTATGAGACTAACCTGTATAAATAAAGGTTGAATGAATGAATAGTGCTCTTTCTCTGCATGAAGCCATACTGCTGCTCACATTAGGGAGTCAGGGAATCAGCTGCAGGCACTAATTAGTTAATCTGGGAACTTTCCCTGCATGTGTGCGTTTTCCCTTTTATCACCTGTTATGGTTGTATTTCTAACAGACATAATGAGGGAGGAATCTCTGAGATGCTGGTCTTGTTTTTAGAAGAGGAAAACAGTTGAACCTGATGACATACCAGTCGAGGCATGGACATGTCTAGAAGAGATGGCAGTGAGGTTTTTGACAAGATTATTCACTGGCATTTTTGAGAGTGGGAAAATGCCTGAGAAATGGAGAGAACAAGGATGATGTAGAGCTGTAGCAACTACAAGTTTATGAGCCACACATTGACGATCTGGGAGAGAGTTGTGGAAGCTATAGACGAGAGGTGACAATTTGTGAGCTAGAAAGCCAAGAGTTTGAAGAAGCATTGCAAGGAGACTGATTTGCGTGACGCAAATGTGAGTATTTGGACTTGTTTTGTGTGCACGCAAAGCTCATGAATGATTCAGTGCATATTATGCTGTTTCTGTGGCATGAACACTTGAAACACAGAGAAACATACTGTATATTTGCCAACACTCCTCGCAAAGCTGCTCAAACTGAAGACGCTTCACGAGTTAAATGTGTACTTTTCTCTGGTACATAGACATGCTGCTAACAGTGCATGAGAGGACACAGCACTTGATGAAGAATGTATGGTTTTCACAGAATAAAGTTAACAGCCCCCCCTCCTCCCCCTCCACTACCATCAACTGCAGAACTGGCTGATTGATGGTTCAATTTCAGTCTATGAATCATTGGAGTTTGCAGAGAGGAATAGAAAGCAGAACCAGAATTTGGCAAATACAAACAGTGTTTGAGAGGGGAGAAATTCTGCCCCTATTTGTCTCAAAACTTTTCTGCCATGAAAGTTTTCAGGGGAACTCCAAAGCATTTGCTTTTCATTCATTCAACCTTTATTTAGACTGGTAAATCCCATTGAGCCTCGAGGACTCATTTACAAGAGAGACCTGATTTGTCAGTTCTACAAAGACCAAACTCAACGTGTCAATGAAAGCACATCGTTTAAAAAACAACAAAAATAACGGGTTCTGTCCAGGTAAACGAGTTCCTGTTAGTTGTCTGGTTCTTACAGGAACAAGGCCTTGAAAAGCAGTTTCACATCATCCTGCAAACCCATTGGTTTGTGGATTTTGGACAATGTGATATTTCCTGGTTTCTAAAAATGAGCTTTCACTGAGTCTTTGTGATGCAGAGGGGCAGCTGCAGGAACCTTCAGACAGAGACAGGTGAAGCAGTCAGTATTAAAAAAAATTAGATGACAAACATGAATTGTGCCAGAGGGATTTTTTTTTGGCAAGATAACGTTTTTACGTGTCCCACAATTATTCATTTGACTCTAATTACTTGCACGTTAGTTTCCATGGCAGTTTTATTATCAACGGCCTTTCTCCTTTTGGTGGCGGGCAATAGTAGTTTTGTTTGTGTCTGTTTGTATGTGTGCATATCTGTTATAGTAATAAATCATGAACCACTGCACAGATTTTAATGAAACTTGCAAACTATACCATATTTTTCTAACTATAAGGTGCACTTAAAATCTTTTAATTTTCTCAAAAATCAACAGTGAGCCTCATAATCAGGTGCACCTTGTGTATTAATTCTGGTTGTGGTTACTGACCTCAAACTGATTTTATGTGGTTATTGTGAATGGGTTGAATAATGTTTGACTTATCTGACTGTTATGTTTTGCTTAATGCGCCTTATGTATGAAAACAGACCTGTTATTTGATATTGCGCCTTATAATCCGGTGCACCTCATAGTCCAAAAAATACGGTAATTAAGTCATCAGGTGCACATATACAACTGATTAACCTTTGGAGTCAACTCAATTCAAGATGGCGCCTTAGCCAATAACGCAGCTAATACTGAGCTAAAATTTAGTGTGGTAGTAACAGAGACTGATCACCAACACATATTCTGAGAGCTAAAATAGTGTGAAAGATCTTTTTTTTAATTTTTATTTATCCACTAACCAGTTGCAATCAATGTTGCAAAAACTCTTCTTAACCATTTAAACTACACTACAAGGTTTGGTCAAAATGAACATAGTTTGGTGGGCGATATGCATTTCTTAAAGGAATTCTAGGCCTTTAATCTAACAAATTTGCACCAAAGTGCAGCACTAAAAAAGTTATCAGAACCAACTCACCATCTTAATGCACAGATTAAACTGTGATAATCAAAGACCAGAATTATCAGACCTGTTGATCTGTGGATTTTAGTGACACTGAAGAACATATATGTATTCTCACCATAGATGTAAACAAAAGCCCCGTGTTCTTTGATTCCATCCCTGGTCCTCAGCCTGGCGCTGTACACACCTTCATGCTCCTTGTGTGCAGCCATTAAAGTGATGGTGGACTTGTTGTCAGTCGTTTTAATGTCCACATTGCTGGACTGATGCAGCTGTGTACCTGGACAATGACAGCAAATAAACAGACGGCGTTACAGCGTGTTTTTAAAAACTCAGAAATGGGTTTTCAGCACAGGAATTACCATCTCTGAACCAGCTGACTTCTTGCTGGAAGGGAAGCAGAGCTGATGTGAAGGTGCACAGCAGGGTGACGCTGTTGCCCTCCTTTACCCAGGTCGGGGGGAAGGAGATGCCAAACTTGGCTTCCTCTTGCAGCTGCGAGGCTGAAAGAAGCAGGAAGAGGATCAGGTTACGTGGTGTGCTGTTGTCATGAGAACAGTTTGGAATTAAACAAAAAAAATTGACGTTGAATGAAAAATCATTTAGGTACAGAGGTAAGAGATGAGACATTTAAGGCCAATAAACATTTACTGAAAGCTAATTGTCGCAAAATGCTAAGTAAAAGTAGAAAAACGCTCGCTCAAAACATAAAGTAGCAAAAAGGCAACAAAAGGAGCAAAGCATTGGCTAAAAGGAACACAATGAAGAGCTAAAAGTAGTAAAAGGCAATTCAATTCAGTTTATTTATATTGCGCCAAGTCACAACAGAAGTCGTCTCAGGGCACTGAACAGAAAGAGCTAAATGTATCAAAAGGGTAGCCAAAAGTGACAAAATGCTAGAGGTAGTAAAAGGCCAGCTTAAAGCTAAACAAAGCAGAATGGTAGCTAAAAACAGCAACATGTGAGAAAGAAGGCTAAAAGTAGTAAACCACTAGCCATAAGGTAAAAAATAACAACATAACGCTAACTCAAACTAGCAAAATGCTAAGAATATGTAGCAAAAGGCTAGCTAAAAGCTTTTTTTTCTTTTGTTTTCTTCTTTCGGCTGCTCCCTTCTTCAGGGGTCACCACAGTGAACTAAGATGCACAAAGACTTGGCAATTATTTTTACGCAGGATGACCTTCTTGATACAACTACAGACGACCAGCCATGTGGAGCAGAGAGCTGCCATCTAGGGGTGCCCAGGGGAGCAGATAGTGGGGGTTAAGAGCCTTGCTCAAGGGCCAAGAGTGGGGCAAATGAGGGGGGAGACAGGCATGGACGCTTCACCAATCCCACCCACATTTTGATGTTGTCTGTACCGGGACTTGCACCAGCGATTTTCCGATCGCAGGCCCACCTTCTCTAACCTCTGCACCACCACTCCCTAGCTAAAAGCTAAAATTAGCTAAATATTATCAAAAAGGTCTCAATGAACATAAGAAAGAAATCAAGAAAATATAGAAAATTTAAAAAAGCAAAGTGTTTTATAGATTTAATATGATCTCAATGTATTCTAATAAGGACGTTTAAGAGTTTCTTTAAAAGGTTGAACGGTGAAAATAAAACTAGAAGGCTCTACCACCTTCAGCAGAGTGACAGCCACGACAGTAGAAGACTCATGCACACTGACACGACCCAAACGACAAGAAGAAGCATCCAGTGAGGAAACCGCCGAGGACAGAAGAAAAGTTAAAGCTCTGACACTTTTTTGAAAGTGGACCATACTGATCAGCCATTATTCATTCTCTGACTTAAAGCACTGCTGCAATAAAACCTGAAAGTGGGGGCTGTGTGAGCTATAAGCTCCTGTCAAAGCTTGTTGTCAGAGGTGAATCTGGCAGAAAGAGACAGCGACATGTTTCCTATAATGATCCTGTTCTGCTTAGCGGTCCAGGTTAACACAGCAGAGTGTGCAGCCTTTTTAAAGCTCACTTCTTGGATCTTTGCCTAGCAGCATTCACACCCTGTGCTTCCCTCAGAGCAAGGATGATGAAGATAAATTTGCCACAGTTGTGCTTTTGTTTGTTGACTGATTTGTTTTGGGGGGTGGAATCTTCCTCTCATGAGATAATCAAGTGTCAGTTACATAGAAATGACAGCATGCATTTCTTCAGCACATTTTCACAGCAAGCATTCCCTGATGCTATTACAAGCCGATAAAGCTTCATTCATGATGATTGCCACTTAATTTCTTAGTTTGGGAGAAGTATATTATTGTGTCTAGATAGTGCTTCTGAGAAAAAAAATGATGCATTCACCAAAATATGATGTGATTTATGTGTCTTTTGCCAATTAGTTGTAAATAGTTTAACTTCATTTTTGCACGTTTGTCAGGATTTGTCGTAATAAATTAACTTTATCTTGAAGAATAACATAAATTACTGTCCTTTAAAAAACAAATTTACAACCCGTGCATAATTCATAACATAATGAGGAAAAAAAAGAAAGCATATGTCAAAACAACCAAATTATGATTTATATAAAGTTTTAGCAGAGCTACACGTCCAAGCTAAATCATGATGAATCACTGCAGGAAAAACAGCAACAAATTGATTGTATATAAAGAAGAACAATGAGTGACATCACATGTCAAGCTTTGATAGCTAAGCAAAACTAAACGAGATACTAATTGTCTCTACATTCTGATGTCTGCAAAGGTCATTTCTGTCAACTTGATTTGAAATCAGATGTCTTGTAAAACGGAAACGAAACGCAATCCTAACCTTAATGCTTCTTTCATGCACTTAAAAACCAAGTCAACAACTCTGTCTGTTAGCAAAATATCTCATGAACAAAGGGACAGATGTTAGTGAAACATATGGAAATCAATCAATGGAAGTACACCTACAGCTGATTAACTTTTGGAGTCAATTTAACTCAATATGGCCGCCACAGCCAGCTAATAGAAGACACAAACATGAGTCAAACTCAGACGTTTTTTTATTTTTATAAATATTGAGCTACATTTGAATGTGAAAGTAGCTGAAACCAATTCACACCATGCAATCCAATCTCTACACATTTCATAGCATCCCTGCTTAAAACATTTGCATTAAAAAATGTGAATAACTCTACAGATGAGATAAAGTTTGACGTGGTAGTAGCTGAGAGTCCTTATCATATATATTCCGGTGTATTGCATGAGCTGCTTCAAGGTTTGACCAAACGTCTGTTATTTCTCAACTTGAGAAGACTTTAGCTTAAAATTCAGGTTTTAAAGGTAACAGGTGATGAGCATCCTTTCAATGAATGTTAGACCTTTATTTTTTATTTTTATGATTTGGATTTTAAAAATCCAATTGGAAGCAACTTGCTGTTTTCATGGTAAAGTTACAAAGTATAAACATTGATCTGTCAAGATCGTTTTCTTTTGGTGTCTTCATCCATCCAACATCAAAAAATTCCTCTCACACAAACAAGTGACAAAAGTTTTCTTTTTCTTGGAGGAAAACCACGCTATCGTTTGGCTTCGTGGACAAATATCCTGATACAGAACGTACTCTACATGCAAATTTCGGCTACAAAGGTGCTGCTCCCCACACACGGTTGAGGCTATATAGGCCAGACAGTGTCACACAACCACTGCTTGGAGCAAAATGTGATAAATCTCCTGCCATCCCTGAAATGAAATATACATGACTGTCATTTCTGCTCAAATGGAAGCAAATCATTTTATCCCCACGGCAACCGCCGCACATCTAATTAACACTGTTACCTCCACACAGACACCCTCAGAGCAACATAAATCCCAAGATAAACAAACACCACCAATGCACCGCTCCCTTCCATTCCACCCGTATCTTTCTTGAGAAGGTCTTTGCCCAGCAGTGCTGAGTGTTGTGCCTCAGTCTTCAAAGCCATCCCTCCTGCCCTCAGTGGAAGGGGAGACTTCAAAGAGCAGCAGAGAAAATGAGAGACGACACTTGTTATTAGTCCCTGGGTTGAAACTTACCGGCGGTCTGCAAGCGCTCTGAACCAGCCGCGGCTCCTCGATATGCTGAATGGTAGAGTGGCAGATTGATCAAACACAGGCAGGGTCAGAGATGGAGACAGAAGCAGAGGATGGTAAAGAAACTGCTAAAGTGGCAGAGAGACAGCAGACCAGTCAAACTTGGCAGTGATACAAATGAAAGGCCACGTCTAATGTTCTAAACATGTGAAGAAACCCTACTTACAAAATAAAAGGCACACTTAAGTGATTCACGTGTCCAGATGAGGTAAAATGTTTTGGGCATTAAACTGCCCTGCAGGACTGTCAGGACTTTGGGACGTTGGGGGTCGGGGGTGTACTAGAGGGGTCTAAAAACTTGCTAAATATGTGTGGGTGGCTGTGGCTGAGTGGTTAGAGTAGTCGTCCTCCATCACAAGAGTTGGGGGTTTGATTCCAACAGCAGTCGCATGCCAAAGTGTCCCTGGGCAAGACGTGAAACCCTCATTGTCCCAGATGTGTGTTCCATCAGTGTATGAATGTGATAAAGCTCTGATTATTCTCTGTAAAGATAAAGTAAAGTGCTTTATGAATGGGCGAATGAGGGCACAAATTGTGTTGTAAAGCACGTTGAGTATCTTGATAAGATAGAAAGGCACTATATAAGTGCTACATAGTTCCAAACTAAATATTTAATTTGCAAGGTAAATATTTAGTTTACTAACTAAATATTTAATTTGCAAGTTAAATGGTTAGTTAGTGAACTAAATATTTAGGTGTAAATTATATACTTAATTTCCAAACTAAATATTTAATTTCTATGGCAAACATTTAATTTGCTAACTAAATATTTAACTTGCAAGCTAAACATTTAGCTTGCAATTCAAATATTTAGGTGAGAGTTAAATATTTAGTTAGCAAATTAAATAATTATTTTGAAAATTTTATGTTTAGCCTAAAATTAAATATTTAGCTTGGAAATTAAGTATTTAATTTGCATCTAAATTTTTATTTCACTAACTAAATATTTAACTTACAAGTTAAATATTTAGTTAGTGACCTACCTTATTTAGGTATACATTAAATATTTAATTTATAAACTAAATATTTATGTTCTTAGCTAAACATTTAATTTCTAAGCTAAACATTTAATTCCTAAACTAAATATTTAATTTGCTAACTGAATATCTAGTTAGCAAATTAAATATTTATTGTGGAAATTAAATGTTTAGCTTAGAAATTAAATATTTTGCTTGGAAATTAAATATTGAATTTACACCTAAATATTTAGTTTACTAACTAAATATTTAACTTGCAAGTTTTTAGTTGATAAATTAAATATTTAACTTGTAAACTAAATATTTAGTTTGGAACTATGACATTTGTAAACGTATGAATAACATGGTGAAAATGTGACTGAAATAAAACATTTTTTTCCTTATTAAAGGCTAAATAAACCAAAATATTGCTGTTAATTTTTGACTGTGTAACTTTACAAATGGCACCCCATATCCATTTACTATTTAAACAGAGCAAACAAATGGCTAAATTTAAATTCAGCAGAAGCTAATTTTGCTAAAGGTTTTCAAAGTAAGCAAAACCCTAATACGCTAAACAAAAAGTTAGTTCCACTAACTGAGCCCAGCACTGCTTGGAGCTATCTCCAACACATAAATTAAATCATAATTTAAAAATGGCCGCCACGTGGTAGGCAGGCCTTCGTCAACGTTTCTTCAAGATCTTTCTAGTTTAACTCGTCGTTGTGACTCAAAAGGAACCACAACAAACCCCTGAGCTCATAACTAAACAGGAAGAAGAAAAAAGTAAAATTTTAAAAAGTGATGAGGCGACGTCGAAACTAATGTGGCTAAAGCTACTCAGGTAGAGTCCAAACGACGCTCCAGATTTGTCCATCTAGGTCCAAAAATTCGGACTCGGGTGTAACATTTCTGTCAATTTATGGTCTTCTTTTCATGGTGTTGAACTCTGATGTTTCACAATGAGCTGCTGGAGTGTGAATCAGTTTCTCACAGAGGTGGGTTAATTATTTTACAGCTAATGTTTTCACTGCAGCTGATCTTGCTCTGATTTATGACAGCAGAGATGGAGTCTATCATCTTGTTGATGTGTTGATCTGGTTTTTAAACAGTTTTTCTCGCTTTTTATTCACAGAATTGAGTAGTTTAATCATAGTTTTGTACTTTTTTGCACTAATAATTCTCTGCTTGGTCTTTGCAGCTTTGACTAAAATGAACAGAAATGAATATTTATACTTATAATCACTATGCAAAGGGCTTGTTTCCTGTACGCAATTCATTGCAGTTCATGTAACAGGGTTGTACTTATATTGAAAGGAGAAAATAAATAAATAAATCAGTTGTAGTTTTAGCCTGTTAACAAATTCATTAATACAAGTCTTTCTCTGAAATCCACCAGAAAATGAAACATTTGTAACACGTTTGAGGCACATTGCCTCAAAGGGGTAGAACAGAAAATGTAGTTTTGAAAACATAATTTTATGCTACAAGAAATCAAAAAGACGCATTCTGCAACAATATGGCAAGTTATTCTGACATCGCTGGGAATTATATGTGTAGATTATGATCCATTTTTTGATATGATTAAAAGTTGTTCATAAAAATCTGACAATTTTAAGATGCAAAATGTGCTATTTGAATGTAGGATACATAATTGTTTTCAGACTAAATGATTACATAGAAAAATGATTAAAATGATCCTATAGGTGTATGCAAGTTTATTTTTCCTCTCACAGTACGCTTGGTTAATTTCTGTAAGAAAAACGTGAAAAAAAGGCCAATAAATGTAAAGTTATTAATAATTTAATTATGCATTGAACCATAGCATTTATACAAAAACAAATAAGTTCATTTTTATTTGAATTTCTAGTCAGATTTTATGGCTCCGGATGAATTTTTATTTAATAGGAAAATAAATAAAAATAAACGATTCGTTAGATTGTAAAGGTTGTAGACCTGTGTTTTGGTCGTTGTTGTTTCACCTTGTTTTATGTGAGTAACTGTTCTGCTGCTTAAAATAAAGGTCAGTCTGAATGATATATGACTAATAACAGATTTATGCACAATGTATTTTCAGTCTCTAACGCTCCCTAGCCTTTTCTGTTTAAATCACATGTGCACTAAGAGCTTGATCAGGTGTCATCCGTCTGTTTACAGCTTCATCATTATCAATATATGCATCGCTTCCATTGTTGTCCTGGGATGCTGTTAAATATAAAGTACCAGACATGGACCTACATCTTGAAGTTGAAAGATTTTGACAATAGATAGTTTACAGCCACTAGGAGGCAGTGTCATCAATGATAGCGCCTGAAGACCTGCAGTTATTTCAGTGGACTGTCATTGATCTTAAGTTTTCATTCATTCATTTATTTATTAGAAGAATATCATAGTTGTATATTAGTCAAATGGTGTAATATTTTGCTTGATTTTTCCTTGATATTGCAAAACCATCATGCCGTGTTTCAGTAAGGAGCCGTGGTCTTTCTAAGAACTGATCTTTGATTTCATGGGTTTTTGAACGATGAAACCACTCACAGTTTACCACTAATGTTCCAAAGGTCGTAGCTTCACCCCGGGGACTCTTGGCGATGACTTTATACTCACCAGCATCATCAAGACAGCACCTTAAAGGGGGATAAATAATGGCATTTATTGTTGTAATTAATGTTATTTTGTGAAGCTAAAATGACTGAAGCCAAAAGAAAAAAAAAAGCCATTGGTAAATCATAAGACAGGGTTTTTAAAACGGGCTTCATCTCACATTCTGAATCACTTTTAATCTTTTTTTTTTTTCTGTAGAAAGATCCTCCACCTTAAGTTGGCTTTTAACCCAATGATTAATGTTCCAATCTCAAGTGAGTTGAAGCCGTAATTTCGTTAAAGTCAGCAGGCGTTTCTGCTCAGAGTTTTCTGAACAAAAACGTTCAGCTTTTATTAGGTCTTTAACTTGATGCCTTACCTTCTGATCTCCAACGAGCTGAGACCAAAACTTTGTTGAAGGCTGTAGTTCCACGGTTGGGATGACATTATCAGTGGTTCACCATCCTTACACCTGAGAAAAGAAAAGAGTAAATGTGTTTTTATTAAGAATAATAATTACCTGGTATATACATTTATTAGAAAACAAATGAACAAGAACGCTGTGTCCTTTTTTACAGAATGCTTCTTCGTAACTTTCTAAATCAAGGACTAGTTTGTGTGATCCTCCAAGCCAGAAGGGGTTTTTGATCTTCTATTCTGTCTTGTGTTGTTGGGCGCCGACCTTTGCAGCTCATTGGACTTGATGGGTCCCAGATGGATTGGTCAAACTTTTTAAGCCACAGGTTATCTGGCTTTCAGTGCGCATGAATACTGAGCATAGCCAACCCTTTCATCATCTAGTCTCAACAGCAGCTCGAGTGTCAGGGTCAAGAGTTTGGCACACTGCCTGAATTTACACAGGTAATTCATGTTAATAAAGACCATAATATTCAGCTCAAGGAACACAGAGCTCAGAAGCTAACTGTCATGACATTTTCTGGGAACATGCCATGGACTTTAATGTAATTATTTTCTTGTACTCTCACCAATAAACACTTTAATTGAAAAAAATAATATATAAATAATCATTGAACGACTAATCAGTTAATTGAGCTATATGGGTAAAATTCAATGTATTTTCTTCTCATTGCAACAAACCACATTAAATTCATGCAAGTCCTAATCATGGACTGCATTAAGGACAGATGTTCGTACCATGTTAGTGTGGGGGTTGGGCAGCCGTGCACAGTGCACGAGAGTTTCACCGTCATCCCCTCCCAGACTGTGTGAGCCCTCAGAGGGATTGCAAAGTCTGGAGCTCTCTGGCTCAGTTTCTCCAAGAACTGTATGTGGGCAGACTTCTTCTCTTCTGCCTAAAGCACAGATCAATAAAATTCATTTTTTTTAGGTAAAACATGACGATAAACCAGCTGCTCGTTGGGTTATTAGAACAATAAACAACAACACAAGAGAAAATAATAAATCAGAAAACTGTACTGATGTTCACCAAAGCTGTTCATTAGAGAGATGACTTTGTAAAGTGGAAGCTACTCATCACAAACTGTTTAAGACAATATATATATATATATATATATATATATATATATATATATATATATATATATAT